GGTCAACAAAAAGTTGAACAGCCGTAGCTTATGAAAGTCATTATTAACATCTCCGCATTGCGCGGTGAAACAAGCCACATGTTCTAACGAAGATAAGGACGATTTCCCAGCGAAAAGGCTAAAATCTGGAATTTTGAAACCTTTAGGATATTCGAACGTTTCCACATAAGCTGGATACGTTGGGAACTTTGGCCCCTTTTTCATGGTCGAATCGATCATCCGTTGGACCTCGGTCATATCAACGGGTGTTGCTTCCACTCTCTGGTCGGATCCGTCTGACCTACTACTCGATCCTCATCTTTTTTCTAAGTCAATTGGTTTGAGCCGAGCAGGGATTGGCTCGGCCTATACTATTGGTAACAGATTATTTCTTGGTGGCAATTGCTGGGAAAAATCGAAGGACCTGTCGTCGTCGACCTTACTAACCAGTATTTCGAGCAATCTGGTTTGTGTCTCACTAGTACTGCGTATCACGTAGTGCAGTTTATCGATTCCTCAACTAAATGTATGTTCAACCGCCCGAGACTGTTCGTCAAGTCGTCTTCGAAGAAACGATCTTGTTGGTGGATCAGAGCCTTCACCGCCATCCTCATCACAGTCATCCACTATCCTTTCATTGAGAATGCAGGTGTTTTTGTTATGGATTTCTAGACTGCGAAGCTGACCGCTGAGACTAACTTCCCTTTCTCGATGAGTCACGCTTGTGGACTCAGGTGTCACGGCGCTAAGGGGATTCTGCACTTGTGCTACATTTTGTCCTATGTTCTGAATTGGCAAATCGGTTGTTGATTTTCCCATAGTTGTTTTCTTTTTAATCGATCGTCTTTCAATTGGCATGAACTTCATAGTTTTAGCATTGGGTCCCATTAGGCGTGCCAAAATGTTGACCCTAAAAACTACCAAGCCTACGTGGCGCGCATGCCGAGTAATCTATGAGCTAACTACGTCCTTCGGTTGGATGCAGGGCGTGCCAACTCGACGGCCGAGCTCGCCCGATGAGTAAAATGTGTTGATGTTGCGTCGGGTGCGCGACTGACTTCTGCGTCTTGCGATTGCAACCGAGGAAGGAACACGTCTCGACCTTTTGGGTTCTCGAACCTGAAGACAAGGCTACTATTCTTACGAAGTTCACAAATCGTCGTCGTCGGATTCGGTCACAGTGATAGTATTAGTCAAAGTAAACTCACGCCGAATCGACACCAAAGTGTAAGGGCACAAATACTCAAAGCGGATATAAGTCTTAACAGTAAACGTGGTTCGACCGTCAGAATGCCGAACTCTAAATCCCACTTGTGAGTATCCAATCATAAAATAACTCGGCGTGCAATGTGCCGAGCCCAGTAAACTGTAACACCTCACTTTGCCGAGAAAGCTGATGAGATGACCTCGACTAACAAGGATTTAAAAATCCTTCTCGACTGAGACTTGTATAGATAACCAGTCGCCCTCGACGCAGTGCTGTTTATGCCAACTGAAGATGCTGCGAGATCGGCTGATTCTACGGCGACAGTGCTGTTTATGCCAACTGAAGATATCACAGGTAGCCTTCACAGTGCTGTTTATCCAAACTGAAGGTGTGTCGGTGAAAAGAGAAAAGAAAAAATCTCAAGGTTGTTGAGAGAATTTGCGCAGGGCAGTTGTGTGTTGAATTGGAGGGGGCTTTGAATGATGCACATCCTTCTCTATTTATAGCAGCAGGTCCTCTTTGGATCGAATTAAAACCCTACTCGGATTAGGACTTCTTCTTCTTATCAAACACTATCTCGACCAGTCCTATTTTCATTATGACTTTGAACCTAATCCATTATCAAGCCGCATTCACTTCCGGGTTATCAATATCTTTATCTTGCTGAAACTCCTTATTGTAACAGGATTCAATTACCCTTCGCAGCAAGACTTGGTCGACCCAGGCTAGGAAGCCCATGAACTAGATGATCCATGATAACCTTTTCGTAAGACCTTCTGGGCCAAGAATAAAACTCGGTCCAAACCAACATTTTGGGCCCAAACAGTATCAAATAAATCAACAACCTCTGTACATATCAGCCTAAAAATATAGATATTTTGAAAGGAAAAATTCCCTTTCATCTATTACTATATGATAGGAGCATATTTATTCCACTTAGTTGGCTTGTTCTTGTGCATATATGTCGTGTTTCCTTAGTTATTTTAATGTTTAAAGTCATTTTCGTGTGTTTTCAGATTTTAAGGACAAAGTAGGCAAGAAGATGCATTTTGGAGCATTTTGGAGCAAAATGGAGCTTGTAATGCATGTCACATATTTGGAACCAAGGTTTGGACGAAATTGAAGACTTAAAGAGGCTAAGAATGTGAAGAATTAGTGTACAAAGGATCAAGAACTCAGCCACAAAAGGACACACATCCTTGCCGTGCAATCCACATAGCATTCCCTTTGGATTCCCATGCATGCTTAATCATCCTTGTCCCCTAAAATATTTCTGATTTCATGCCTCAATACACTCAATTATCACACTCAATTGCTGCATACCTCTTGTTCCCTTCACCCATCAGATTTCACACAACTTTCACAACCATTCCATGCACCAATTGATGCTCCATCATCCACATTTGGGATCCAATGCCGTGTGCAATGCATGTTGCTGCACCTTTGACTAATTTCTGAAACATTTCACCTCCCCTTTTCATTTCCATGCAATGAACACAATCATTCATGCTCCCTAGCTGAAATACCACTCAATTTTACCCTCCATACTTTGCATCATTGCTCCATTTTCATCCTTGGACCATTGCACACCACAAATTCACCCTCATTGCTGTGCATTTCCCCCACTGCCTAATCTGATTCTCTAGGGTTTTTGGGGCCTATATATACATGTTTACAAACCTTGGCAAAGGGTTCAACCTCCCATATTCATCATTCATGCAGAAAATTCGTCCATACTCACCCTAGGCAGCAAAACACCCCAAAAACACCATTCTAGTGCCCAGAAAACATAACAGCCACTCCACCTTATTCCACCCTCTTTGCCGAGCTCTCTACCATCCTTCAACCATCAAACACTCCTCCATACTCACCCTAAACCTCTTCATACCATTCCCCATCCATTCTACACCATAAAACTACCCAAAACATCTTCACAACCCAATCTGCCGCAAGCAAGGAAGGGGACAGATTCACTACGATTGTTTGGCTATTCATTCTGAGTTGTTGAACGATTTTAGGTGTTTTCTATCTTATATTTCAATGTCTAATTCATGTAATCTTTGTTTTGCTTTAAGTATGATTGGCTAAATTCGTTTTGGCTAAGGGTGGATTCAAAACCATGATTATATATGTGAAATAAGTTGATTACTCTCGGTTATCGTTGCATGAGTCGTGAATACAATTTGCTTAACTGTTGGATTTAGAACTTATTCTTGTATGTTGGTTGAGAGTGCACGCTTAATTTGCATACTTGAATTTGATGCTAGGATATAAGTTTGTTTCACCTAATCGTTATGAATTTATATTCGTAAGTAGTAAAGGTCGCTAGTCACGATCGTGTTAAGTAGATTCTTGGCAAGAGTATCATGCTTTTCATAGTTACGAATGCCTTGTCGATGCTTATGATTTCCAAAGAACGTAATGATTCTAACCAGTATCTTTATCATGCTGTTCATATAAAGAACTTGTTAGGAATAATTTGTTTGCGATGCATATTCATCCAATTCAATGATTTTAGGGAAATCTGAAGGTTAATTTAAGCGGATCTAATTAACTTGGAGTGTCGAGGTTCATAACTTGTTAAATTGATAACTGGAAATCGATTTAGGTTGCATATATTTCATGTGTGGAGAAGAACCCCTTAGCCATTCCATCATCCATTGATTCTTCATAACTTTGTATTACAATATGTTTCTCTTACAATCTGCCATTTAAGTTTATTTTCGTCCAAATCAAATCCCCAATTATTTGGAAATCCTAGATTAGTTGGAAAGTGTGTTGGTTTATGTTTTTAAGTGTTTTGGTACAAGTTAAAACCCAAATTCGTCCAATTTGATGCCTTGTGTTCAAAACTGCCCAGAAAGTGTTTTTAAGGCAGTTTTGAGTCTTTTGATTGCTGTTTTGAGTTTTTGGTTTGTTTTAGTATTTTAAACGTGAGTTTTGCATTCTTTGAGTCTAATCTAGTGCTTTAAACTTTGTTTTTACATTTCTAAGTCAGTTTTCAAGTGTTTAGCAATCCCTCCTAATCCCCGGTCTAGAACGATCCCTACTTACATACTTTGCTACAATTGATAAAAAAAGGGTTTAATTTTGTGTGTTAACTTATTTCTCACATCACTATACATACAATAGGAGAAAACTCTATTAATTTTAACACATTGGTATTGTCATGAATTTGTAATATTTCAATGAAATAAATGAGATGTTGTCTAAGGACTACATAGCTAGTGCCACTACTGGAAAAAATAAATTGCGAGACGAACAAGAACCGTCTCCTAAAACCAACAGTCATCGCTTGAAAATTTACCCGACGGAAGTTCGTAGGTCAAAATTTGTCGTGTCTACACTATCATAAATATATTTTCCCAACGGCAACACGATTCCATTGGTTAACTTATATTTACCCGACGACAATTGCGACGACAATCTGGTGGGCAAACTTGCATTAACTGTTCTTTACCCGACGGAATGAAGTTTAATCGATGAAATTTTGGCAGTCTTGTCAACACTGGTTTTAAATTTCAACAGTTTAAAGCGATGAAGGCTGTTGTCAATTAGGTAACACAAAATTATTAATTAATGCTCTGCGTCCAATTTCATCGGTTTAGTTTAAGTAAACTGACGGAATGATTCGTCCGGCAAAAGTAATAAAATTAAAAAAAAAAAATTAACAAATTAATTAATCAAACATTATTAATGTTTGATTAATTAAATATTTTTTTTAAATTAACTTATTTAATATTAAAATAGTAAATACAATTATTTAATTAAAGTAATTGTCCTTCGCAAATAAAAAAATCTATAAAAAAAAAACAAGTAACTCTCCTTTGAAAAATACCAACAAAAAAAAAATATTAAAAATAGTCAAAAAATTCGCATAGCCACGTCCACTGCTCCCTCTTATTCTGAAATTCATTTGGCGGATTGTTCAGAGCTCGTTGATGACTTTCTTTATCAGCATAGTAGTTGCGTAGCTTGAACATCCACTCTTTGAACTGTGCCGTCCGCAGCCCATAAATATAGTCAAACGTTTGCGGTTCACCATAACCAATATCGAACTCGGTCTAAAATAGAAAGTAAAACAAACAAGCATTAGTTATAGAAAAAAATAAATTGCTAATTATATATATATATATATATATATATATATATAAATTAAATTTAATAAAAATATTATATGAAAAAATAAAACAATTACCGAGAGTTGTTCCTCGTGCTTCACATTGCGGGGGATATACTTCCATTTGTGGATAGTAATCGGGCACCGGGTACGAATGAGTGCACGTTTGAAGCGAGTCAACATAGCTCGAACTTGAGGACATGTTAGACGCCTACGTCGTTCGTCATAGTCAACTTTGACTCGTCCATTGACAAGAACAATGTGCCTAAACATCTATTTAAATAAATAAATTAGACTTTTCAAAACCACAATTTATAATATAAACAACAAATTAATTAAAATATAATAAAAATAAAATTACTATAACAAAACCCATCCCACTCCCCAACCCCGTCCCCCTCCCATTCCTCGTGACCCTTCCCACCCACCCCATCCCCCTCTCCACCCAACTCCTCCCCTTACCCGACACCCTCCCTTTTCCTGTGTCCCCTCACCTTCCCCGTCACCCTTCCCACCCACCCCCTCCTCCTATCCACCCAACTCCTCCCCTTCCCCGTGTCCTCTCCCATTCCTTGTCTCCCCTCCCTTTCCCATACCCATACCCATACATAAAACACCTCGATCCCAATAACACAAGTTACGAGGCTGTAATGTGCTGGCCGACACTAAATTGACCATATAACCCCATCTGAAGATGACGTCACAAGCCAACTTATTGACGAAGCCATAACAAGATATTTATGATGTGTAATAATTTGAACCAAAGATGTTCATTTAATAATAAACTCAAAGCTGCTACAAGAAAAATACTTATCATCCTCCCCACTTGGGGACACAAATTATCTCGGGTTTAACTGCGTTATTAGCACATCACATCAGAGTAGCTAAAAGTTTCACACATCAGTAAATACAACAAAGTGCAATGCTATGCATAATCAAAAGTCGATCATGCCAATATTATTACAACTAAGATAAAACTGTAGTAAAGGAGCCATCACCCGAAGTTCAGAGGATGAAAGCTTCACTACCAAGCCCACTCATCTCAACCAATGTTCTCTTTATTCTCGTTACGTCTTGAAGAGATTGATAAAACAAAACGTGAGTGGACCAGTTTTATTACAGTTATAAAATCATCATATAAACCTAATAACCCCTGTTTTGAAAACATATATAGCAAAAGCTATATAATAATACTACTGCAATAGTAAAATCTCATTCATTAATATCATCGAAAAACAATCAAGTCAAGTCCAGAAATCATACCTTTCGTCAATTAATCATGCTAGCATCAACTAACATAAATATAGCAGCAGGAAATATACTAGCATCAACTAGTTAATCTCAATACCGGTAATAATAATCAACCATCTAGTGTCTACTAAGACAAATATTACCTGCAAATAAATCTATTGCTGAAGATAACTATATGAAATATCACATGATGACCATTTAGTGAAATTAGATCACTGAGGATCCAAAGATATTATCAAATATCATCACAAGTCTCATTAGAGACTAAAATATTAATATGCATTCGCATATTAGGCATATATATATATATATATATATATATATATATATATGAAGTACAAACGTTTTAGTTTTTCGAAAGGATCCACTCACAGATAAACAGAGCGTCCCTCACAAATAGGCTCCTTGTCTATATCCTTATGATCCTCTAACAATCATGTGATAATCATTATAAGCTAATATAAGTTTAAAACATCAACGCATGGAACATTGTCCAACTCTACCATTTAGGCTTTGAATTTGCACAAATGGAGGGCACCACGTGATTCAAAACAACGAAAAACCTGGGGTTAGGTCTCGGGTCTGTCACGCTTCGCCACGCACCGCCGTGCTCCGATCACACGCCACCACGTGCCGTCGCAGTGGTGTCATGTCGCCGCAGTGGTGTTGTGCCAGAAAACACGCGCCGCCATGGGCCACCGTTGCAGGTGAACACGTTGTCGTACTCGCCGCCACGGTTTGGCGAGTAGATGTCACATTCACCATCGTTGGTGCTACGTGCCGAAGCAGTGAGGATTTAAGATAGTTAACGGAAGATACCTTCGCTGTTGGATGATTTCGTTAGAGTTAACGGAATCCTAAGTTCTGCCATTAAACTTAACGTAGATCGTCGCGGGTAGCCGTCTGCCATCACCGGAGCCTTGCTGGAAACTGCAAAAGTTGCACAATATACATAAATATATATATATATATATAGATGTATATATATATATCTATATATATATATATATATAGATGTATATATCTATATATATATATATATATAGATATATATATATATACATCTATATATATATATATATATATGTATATATATATATATATATATATATATACATCTATATATATAGATGTATATAGATATATACATCTATATATATAGATGTATATATCTATATATATAGATATATATATCTATATATATCTATAGATATCTATAGATATATATAAATATCTATAGATATATCTATAGATATCTATAGATATCTATAGATATAGATATATACATTTATGTATATATATATCTATAGATATCTAGATATATCTATATATATCTACTATATATATCTATAGATATATATATATATATCTATAGATATCTATATATATATCTATATATATAGATATCTATAGATATCTATAGATATCTAGATATATCTATAGATATAGATATATACATTTATGTATATATATATCTATAGATATATCTAGATATATCTATAGATATCTATAGATATATATATATAACTCATATGAAACTCTTACTTGTTGAAGGTGCAGTAGCCATGCAGAGAATGCGTGATCAAGAGAACACCAATATCGGCACGTTTGCCTTGATCGAGAGAGAAAACACCAACTCTTCTGTAAACTCCTAGCTTTATGACAATGCTCTATGGGAAGCCTTAGTTGATGTGATCTAGGGTTAGCAGGGACCGGTGTTTATATACTAGCCAAAAGTCTTAGATTCCATCCATAAAGGAAAGCTAAAACTCTCCTATCTTGGCTCTCAAGTAAAATATCATAATCATATATTATGAAGGATTCAATAAAAAACCTACCTATAATGTAAGACACTCAATGTAGGATTGATATAAGGATATCAAATCGCATCTTAACTGATCTCCAACTTATACATTCCTATTACATATAGTAGACCATTTATGGTTGATTTATATTGAATAAATCCAACATTCTCCCACTTGGTCTACTTAATTGTAATGATCATGCTTCAAACATATGTCGGAGATCATTGTTTCTTTAATGGCCATATTACTGCGACCCAATCCCATCCTTAATTCAAATTTCTATCAAATGGACTTCTCAATGTAGGACTAAAAAGGTTGTAAAGATAATTCATCTCAGAACCTTCATAATCACACACATTGAGTAAACCATTCACATGAAAACCATCAAATTATGATCTAGAGATGCACTTTAACTCAAGAATTGTCTTATTTTATATCATCTCTAGTCCACTTTATCGTAACTTTCATAAGTCAGACCTTATGCTTTTAAATGGTCTATATGTTTACCAATGTAAACTTTTTACCATTCCAAAGCCACCTTATGCTTTTTTCTTTTAAGCAGTCCATATGTTTGCCAACACAAACCCTTTTGTCATTCCAAAATGACACGTTATGCTTTTCATGCATTCTTCATGTTTGCCAACGTAAACTTTCATTATTCCAAAACAGACTTATGCCTAAAAAGAATTAAATATGCATGCATCATGTGAACACAAATAATTAAAAAAATCTTTATTCAAACCCAACCTCGGAAACAAACCACACCTCAAACCTCAAGACTCAGTGAGTTTAGCTCACTAATTTACTGCAACTAAAACTAGTTTTCTACTCCCATTAACTCAACATATCTAAGTTCGAGATCAATCCCATGTTTTCTACGTGCTTCTTGAAAGACATGATTGGAAGTGGCTTGTTCAAGGGATCCGCAAGCATTGATTCAGTATGTATATAGCTAATCTTTATGAACCCTTGCTTAATCTTTTCCCTAACCAACTTATACTTGATATGCATGTGCTTAGTCCCAGAAGATCTCTTGTTGTTCTTGGAGTAGAAAATTGCAGCAGTACTGTCACAAAATATCTTCAACGGATTTGTGACAATATGGAGGACCCTCATACCCTCTATAAACTTTCCAATCCAAACCGCTTGAGAAGTTGCTTCGTAACAAGCCATATATTCAGCCATCATAGTAGAGGTAGCTACATTTTTATGTTTCATACTTTTCCACGAGATTGCTCCTCCTGCCATCATAAAAATGTAGCTAGAGGTAGATTTCAGTGAGTCTTGACATCCCGCAAAATCTGAATCATAGTAGCCAAGCAACTCGAGCTTATCACTTCTCCTGTATACCAGTTTATAGTCTTTGGTTTTCTGCAAATACCTGAGCACCTTCTTTGCTACAATCCAATAGGCATGTCCAGGGTTCGATTGATATCTCCCCAACAAGCTTAATGCAAAAGGAATGTCAGGTCTTGTGCATACTTGTGCATACATTAACTCCATACAACTGAAGCATACGACTTGTCATTCATCTCAAGTTTTTCAGCTTCAGTTTGAGGGCTCTGCAGCTTGCTCAGTTTATCTCTTTTAGTCACTGGCACATCACAACCACTGCAAGTTGACATATTGAACCTCTTGAGTATCTTGTCAATATATCCCTTCTGTGATATTCCAAGCAAACCTCTCTCTTTGTCACGAGTTATTTATATCCCCAAGACATAGGTTGCTTCGCCCATATCCTTCATCTCAAAATTGTCACTGAGTATTAATTTGGTCTCATGCAGTAAGGTCAAATCAGTGCTAGCTATGAGGATATCATCCACATATAGCACCAATATGGTGAAGTGTCTCCCACATGATTTAAAATATATACATTCATCTTCTGAATTCTCAGTGAAACCATGTGATTGCATTACTTCATCAAACCTCAAGTACCATTGTCTTGAAGCCTGTTTGAGGCCATAAATCGATTTCCTGAGTTTGCATACTAATTCCTTACCATCTCCATCAATGAATCCCTCAGGTTGTTGCATATAAATTTCTTCCTCCAAAGTACCATTTAGGAATGCAGTTTTTACATCCATTTGATGTAAATGAAGATTATAGTGAGCCACCAAAGCCATTACAAACCTGAATGAATCTTTTGTTGAGACTGGTGAGAATGTCTCAGTGTAATCAATTCCCTCTTGTTGAGTGTATCCCTTAGCAACAAGTCTAGCCTTGAATCTTTCAATTTCTCCCTTGGAGTCCTTCTTAGTCTTATACACCCACTTACATCCGATTGGCTTTGCTCCCTTTGGTAACACTGTAAGTTCCCACACTTTATTCTTTTTCATGGATTCAAGTTCATTCTCCATGGCTTTCACCCACTCTTCTTGCTGCAATCCACTTACAACCTCCATATATGTTGCAGGTTCACCAATGTTGATATTTGTTTCACTCAAATACAACATAAAATCATCTGAGATGGCTGATTTCCTCAGTCTTGTAGATTTTCAAAGTATAGGTGCAAGGACTTCAGGAATTGGTTCTGTAACTTGTACCGGTTCATGTGGAGCATCATTAGTGACATTTGGTTCTTCCATATTGTCTGTAGTATCATCAGTGGCATCATTTTGCACAACATTCTCAGTAACTGGTGGCAAGAGAAGACTGTGGCTTGTGTTTGGAGTCTGCACCCCAGTGTCTTCTACATTTTCTTGTAAATTAGATTCATCTTGTTCTTAAAAAACGAAGCTGTGATTTAAGACTCCCTCTGTCATCTCTTCTATGAACTTCACTTTATTTGTCTCAATGAAACGCATAGAATTTCCAGTACAATAAAATCTATATCCCTTGGTTCTCGGTGGATAACCAATGAAATAGCAACTTACAGTTTTGGGATCTAACTTCTTTTCCTGAGGATTATGCTCTTGCTTCTGCTTTACATCCCCATATTCTCAAATGTAACAAGCTAGGCTTTCTGTTGTTCCAAATTTTGAAAGGTGTTGAAGTGACAGACTTGCTTGGTGCCCTATTGCAGATATAGTTTGTAGTTTTAATTGCATCACCCCATAGAAACATTGGCAAGTTGGTAGTGCTCATCATACTTCTTACCATATCCTTCAAGGTACGATTCTTTCTCTCAGAGACACCATTTTGTTGTGGTGTCCCAGGATTTGTATATTGAGCTACAATTCCTTCACTTTGCAGATAAAGTGCAAAGGGTCCTGGATTTCTTCCATGTTCAGTGTATCTTCCATAGTATTCACCACCTCTGTCAGACCTTACAGTTTTGATTTTCTTATCCAACTGTTTTTCAACTTCAGCCTTGTAAATTTGAAAAGCATTCAAAGCACTGGATTTGTCAGTAAGCAAATATAAGTAACAATATCTCGAATGGTCATCTATGAATGTTATGAAGTACCTATAGCCATCATAAGTAGGCGTGGGGAAAGGCCCACATATGTCAGTGTGTATGAGCTCTAGTAATCCATTACTTCTGATTGCATCTTTCTTGTGTGAACTCACCATTTTTCCTTTAATGCATTCAATACATGTAACCAGATTGTCAAACTCAAGTGGTGGAAGTATGCCACTTTTACTTAGGTTCTTTATTCTCTCTATTGAAATATGCCCTAATCTTTTGTGCCAAAGAGTGGATGAAGTCTCATCTTGATTCAATCTCTGCTATCCAATTAAATGTGCTACTCGACATGATTCCTTGCAAGTCAGTCGAAACATCCCATCAATATGCAAACCATTCCCAAAAATATGAAAGTTTTTGTGAATTGAAAAACCACTGTTATTAATTGAAAATACAAAATGTTTCATAACTAGCTGACTAACTGACTCTAAATTCCTTCGAATTGAAGGTACATAGCACACATTCTCAAGGTCTAATGTAAAATCAGACTCTAATTTTATTCTAACTATTCCAATAAACTCAACAGCAGCTCTTCCTCCATTCCTAACGATCATTGAGACTTCATCCCTTCTTGGCACTCTTTTGCTTGTGTAGCCCTGTAAAGAGTTTGTCACATGTATTGAAGCACCACTGTCAAGCCACCAAGAATCTCTAGCATATTCAACATTATTTGCTTCAAAACAAACTAAAACTTCACCTTTAAAAATCATAACATTACCTTTTCCTTTACCACTGTTAAGCCACTTTTTGTATTTTTGGCAATGTCTCTTCATATGTCCAGGTTTCTTGCAGAAGAAACATTTTCCCTTAACAGCTTTGGACCCTTTGTTTGCACCAATTTTGGAATGATACGATGCTACTTTGTTGTGCTCCTGTTTTGCAGTGTTGTTATGGTGATCAGTTACCATGTTCACCTTTTTCTCAAAAACTTCCTGCCTTATGTGTTACTCCTCATGCACGCAAATTGCAATTAGTTCATTGAGGCTCCACTTCTCCTTTTGTGCATTGTATGTGCTCTTTAATTGTGAGTACTCATTTGGTAGTGAGTTAAGTGCCACATGAACAAAGAAAGGATCACTCATAGGGACTTTGAGGGCATTCAATTTAGCACCAATATCTAGCAATTCTAATATATGTTCCCTCACACAACCTATACCATTATACCTTTTGGTCATAAGTTCATTCATGAGATTACCAGTTTCTGCCTTATGTAATTCTTTGAACTTCTCGCCAATAGATGCTAAGAACTCCTTGGCATTCTCGGATTCAGGAATGCCACCTCTCACTGTGTCAGACATAGATCTTTTAATCACCAAGAGAGCAATTCGATTAGCCTTCTGTCATCTTTCATATTTTTCTTTAACATCAACTGCAGCATCAGAAACAGGTTCTGGAGGAGAATTCTCTCTTGTTGCTATGTCTAAATTCATTAGCCCTAGACAGATCTCAAGGTCTTGTTTCCATTTTTTGTAGTTTGTTCCACTTAAGGTTTGAACAATGTTCACAGCATTCATCACTGAATATACATACAACATGCATGCATTGATTAAAACAATCCCAAAACTTTATAAAACCGAAATTGATTCAACACTTGTAAGCAAGATGAATCAATATGTCTTTTGACACTGACTTATGCGCTACACCAGTTTCCTTCATGCCGATTCCCAACACTTGTGAGCAAGATGAGAACCCCACAACTGATGTGTCACATAAATCATGCCATACCATTCACGTATGATCCAGAAAACAACGATCAACACTTGTGAGTAAGATGAACAGTCTCTATATCATATATTGAATGCAATTTTATGAACAGCTACCTTAAATACATGATTCAATCTTTCATGATAAACGGTTGCAGCTTGAATATATGATTAATTGAATTATGTAGACACTGATCATCTTTAACTTTATATTTACCGAAGTACTAACAATTAAGCAGAACAGTTTAAATTTGACATGAACTATGCAAGATCTCATCTGCGAATTAGGTATATCTTTTATGCATGTTAAGAATTTTATGCTGCATGCTTTTCATTCGAAAATCACATATGATATCAATCTTAACGATTTTAACCATCCAAACAATGGCTCTGATACCAATTGTTAGCCATCATGTTTGTATGATCAAAACACAGTATAAATAAATAAATAAATAAATAAATATATATATCTATATATATCTATATATATCTATATATATAGATATCTATAGATATCTATAAATATCTATAGATATAGATATATACATTTATGTATATATATATATATATCTATATATATCTAGATATATCTATAGATATCTATAGATATATATATATATATATATATATATATATATATATATATATATATATATATATATATATATATATATATATATATAACTCATATGAAACTCTTACTTGTTGAAGGTGCAGTAGCCATGCAGAGAATGAGTGATCAAGAGAACACCAATATCGGCACGTTTGCTGTGATCAAGAGAGAAAACACCAACTCTTCTGTAAACTCCTAGCTTTATGACAATGCTCTATGGGAAGCCTTAGTTGCCATGATCTAGGGTTAGCAGGGACCGGTGTTTATATACTAGCAAAAAAGTCTTAGATTCCATCCATAAAGGAAAGCTAAAACTCTCCTTTCCTGGCTCTCAAGTAAAATATCATAATCATATATTATTAAGGATTCAATAAAAAACCTACCTATAATGTAAGACACTCAATGTAGGATTGATATAAGGATATCAAATCGCATCTTAACTGATCTCCAACTTATACATTCCTATTACATATAGTAGACCATTTGTGGTTGATTTATATTGAATAAATCCAACAGCTAAAAGTTTCACACATCAGTAAATACAACAGAGTGCAATGCTATGCATAATCAAAAGTCGATCATGCCAATATTATTACAACTAAGATAAAATTGTAGTAAAGGAGCCATCACCCGAAGTTCAGAGGATGAAAGCTTCACTACCAAGCCCACTCATCTCCACCAATGTTCTCTTTATTCTCGTTACGTCTTGAAGAGATTGATAAAACAAAACGTGAGTGGACCAGTTTTATCACAATTATAAAATCATCATTTAAACCTAATAACCCCTGTTTTGAAACATATCTAGCAAAAGCTATATAATAATACTACTGCAATAGTAAAATCTCATTCATTAATATCATCGAAAAACAATCAAGTCAAGTTCAGAAATCATACCTTCCGTCAATTAATCTTGCTAGCATCCACTAACATAAATATAGCAGCAGGAAATATACTAGCATTAACTAGTTAATCTCAATACCGGTAATAATAATCAACCATCTAGTGTCTACTAAGACAAATATTACCTGCAAATAAATCTACTGCTGAAGATAGCTATATGAAATATCACATGATGACCATTTAGTGAAAATAGATCACTGAGGATCCAAAGATATTATCAAATATCATCACAAGTCTCATTAGAGACTAAAATATTAATATGCATTCGCATATCAGGCATATATATATATATATATGACGTACAAATGTTTTAGTTTTTCGAAGGGATCCACTAACAGATAAATAGAGCGTCCCTCGGAAATAGCCTCCTTGTCTATATCCTTATGATCCTCTAACAATCATGTGATAATCAATATAAGCTAATACAAGTTTAAAACATCAACGTATGGAACATTGTCCAACTCTACCATTTAGGCTTTGAATTTGCACAAATGGAGGGCACCACGTGATTCAAAACAACGAAAAACCTGGGGTTAGGTCTCGGGTGTGTCACGCGTCGCCACGCACAGCCGTGCTCCGATCACACGCCACCACGTGTCGCCGCAGTGGTGTCGTGTCGCCACAGTGGTGTTGTGCCGGACAACATGCGCCGCCATGGGCCACAGTTGCAGGTGAACACGTTGTCGTACTCGCTGCCGCGGTTTGGCGAGTAGACGTCACATTCACCGTCGCTGGTGCTACGTGCCAGAGCAGTGAGGGTTTAAGATAGTTAACGGAATATACCTTCGTTGTTGAATGATTTCGTTAGAGTTAACGGAATCCTTAGTTCTGCCGTTAAACTTAACGTAGATCGTCGAGGGTAGCCGTCTGCCATCACCGGAGCCTCGCTGGAAACTGCAAAAGTTGCACCGAGGGTTGTAGAGAGTGATTTCAGTCTCAAATCTCACGAATTTCTCATCAACTCGCAGAAAAATCAAATAAAGGCTCAGGGACTTACTTTGAACAGATTTGAGAGGAATGGGGGTCGAATTCACCTCGGACTCGACGGATTTCCCTCAAAAACCCTCGCCAGATTCTGGAAATAGGAAACACATTGCATGCATGTCAAACCTTAGTAAATTTGAACTAAAATTAACATGCAAGAAGGTATCTAAATACCTGAGATTGGTTCGAGTTATTCCCGAGCTCCAGAAATCACAAAGTTGCCGGAGTTTGCTCGGAGAAGACAATCGAAAACTGGGCAATTACACCGAGAGACATGCAGAGGTTTAGAGCACGAAAAAACAGGTTTAAACCTCACCAAATTCAGTCCCAATCGAAAGAGAAATGAAATAAGAACACTGCAGAACCCAAATCAACCTTGAACTCGACGACAGTCTTGCTAGAATTCAAAGTCGTGGCTAGGCATGCAAGTTCAGAGTATAATCGAGTTAAAGCACAAGTTTTCAAGCTCAAAATTCGAAGAAACAAACAGTTCCAACACATTTAGAAGCCCAAAAATTGAAGGAAGAGCAAGAATCTCACATGAGATCAAGAGCTAGAGCTCGAAGCTCACGGGTTCCATGGCAGTTCACTGCCCATCGCTCTGATGATGCGTGCGAAGGTATAAACAGGTTCCTCTCGTCTCAGAGATGCCAAATTTATGGTTTTCAAGTTCGATTGATGAGAGAGTGAAGGTGAGAGCAAGGATAAGAGGCTCTCGGCTGAGAGAGAGAGAGAGAGAGAGAGAATATGAGTGTTTGCAGAAAATGGGAAGGTGAGAGCAAGGATAAGAGGCTCTCGGCTGAGAGAGAGAGAGAGAGAGAGAGAGAGAGAGATAGAGAGAGAGAGAATATGAGTGTTTGCAGAAAATGGGAAGGGAGAGAGAGGCCGGAGTGGGTATAAATTCACTTAATTTTTTTAAGTGAAATTACAAATTTCCCCCTCACTAATTGTAAATTTTACAATTAGGTTCCCTAAGGTGAAATTCGATATCAACGTTAAACTAACGTACGAAAAATAAGATTATGAAACTTAAGAAAGTACAAGGATATAAATCTCAAGTTGAGGCTTGATAAATTAATTAAGGCACCCACTTGGAGGAAAATAGTCATTTCACATATTTCGGGAATAAAATACAATATTTTAAAGTATGAGTTGTAACAATACAAGTACGACAACAACAACAACAACAACAAAATCATATAATAACAACACCAACAACAACAACAACAACAACAAAATTATATAACAACAACAACAAAAACAAGAACAATGTAAAAATAAATTTGATATACCTTTCAAAGAGATGGAGAGAGACAGAGAGAAATGGGTGAGAGTGAACTTGAATGAATGACATAAATGGAGGAGTCTCGGTTTAATATAGGGGATGACCGGCTTTACCCAACTTGGCGAATATAGGGGATGTTCCACTGGTCTCGAACCTTCATCAAATTGGAGTATATTCAACTTGGCGAATATTTCATCTCCAGATAATTCTCGTGGTCTAGTTCGATAGTCTGTTTTCCCATCAAAAGCTTATGGCTTCTCACGCCACTTGTGATTCCAAGGAAGCCGCCTACGGTGATCCAAGTAGCATACCTTTCCAGTGTGCCAAAAGAACGATGTGTCCTTGCCGTATGTTGGGCATGCCATATACCCTTCGGTAATCAAGCCAAACAACATACCATAAGCAAAGAAATAATTAATTGTCCACATTATTGCAACTCTCAAAGTGCACATTTCCCTCGTCGACTTGTCATACGTTCGTACACCATTTTTCCATAAATTTATCAACTCATCTGACCGCAAACATACATCAATGGAACCGCTCGGACAAGTTTCATCATTAAGGATTACAATTATGATTTATCTCAGAAAAAGATGAATAATCACCAGAGAATAAGCACTATCATTTGTTTAATATTTTGTTTCTCCACGCAAAAAGCATGATATCACTATTAGGTGCTCTATGCCTGTACAATTCTGAGATACATCTGCAAACCTGTAGCATGTAGCCAAATGTTCAATTCATGGGACAAATTATCCAAAATGCATTCATAAAATCACAAGCCCACCAGAAAAAGAACATAGGCGAAAATGTATTTCAAATAAAACAGCTGACATGCTATTTATTAATATTGTTTAATGGTATTTTTTTTTCAATTTGTAAGTGAGAGGTTTTAGGTTCGATTCTCGATAAAGACGAATTTGAACCATATTATTGCTAGCTTATTATAAGGCTAAGCCCCTCACTCCTTAATATAGATAATATCGTTTGTTAAAAAAGTAAAATAAAAAACTTAAAGCAAAAGGATGTATAATAATATAAGGATGTAAACGATGTCCTATCTTAGTAACTGCACCCGTATAAGCCTGTGGAATAATCATCCTTAACAGAAAAGGCTAAAGTATATGCTGCAGATAAACTCAGATATGTCAAACAATTACTTTTCTAAGAAAAAGAAAATTAGACTTGTCAAGCACTATTCATGTGCCCGAATCTCGGGAGTGGCGAGGCGAGTTCACGACCAATTTATTCTCTCTCCTTTAGTGTGTAAATATATTGTTGTATAGTTTTTTTTTTTCTTTTTTTTAACAAATGATAACGTTAGTGGGTTAAATTGTTGAATGTTAGAAGAAGAGGGAGATCAATGGGGATTGACCCACATCAGGATGCATTATTATTGCTTTCCACCACTCAAATTAAGAGAAAATGTGAGTGCATCTGACCCAACAATCACATTTTTCTTTCTACTGAATACCATTGATTACACTCTTGCTTTTGCTTCTTCTCCTTACTCTGCCCTCACATTTAAACTCTATATCTCTCGGCGTATTCTTTTGCGTTCTTGTCCACAGTCCACTCACACCTTCCATTTCTAGCTTTTGCCTTTCAAAGCCTTTTCTTCTCCTTCAAAATTTCTCAATCATTTTTCCGCATGTAATTAATCTTGACAAGTAGGTTATGTCAACATCCCTTTATTCTTTACTGCACGGTGACTAAAGCGTTTAGTGACAGATTAGGCACCCAAAACATTTTCGTAGCGGCCAAAGGTTACGAAAATAAAAAGATGACTCCTGCTTGTTTTGTTAAGTTTCAACATTATATGAATCTCATTCATTGTAGTCATATAGGGTCAATGAGTGTAGCTGTAAAAAATCATTAATATTTTAAATTGAAGACCGAGTTCATTCATTGTATTCATATAGGATCAATGAATGTAGCTATAAAAAATCATCAAAATCGGAGTTAAAATAACCGTTAAATCGTGATTTTTCGTTGATAACCGTCGAAAAGTTTTGTTCCGTTACTTGATCTCTGAATGTTTGTTTTTTGCGATTTTTGGCGTATGCGATCTTGAAGCATATACAAACAAGTTTGACAGTTGGATTGTTGAAATTAGTTTCGTAGAATGTGTATCCCATCAAAACGATAGATTCACTAACACTGAGTTTATTTATACTTTCATCAAGTATAATTTAAGATTTTGTGGTATCCACTAGTGTAAATATTTTTAAATTGAAGATCAAATTCATTCATTGCATTCATATAGTGTCAAGGAGTGTAGCTATAAAAAAAATCATCAAAATCGGAGTTAAAATAACCGTTAAATCGTGATTTTTGTTTGATAACAGTCGAAAAGTTTTGTCCCGTTACTTGATCTTTGAATGTTTGTTTTTTGCAATTTTTGGCGTATACGATCTCGAAGTATATAAAAACATGTTTGATGGTTGGATCGTTGAAACTAGTTTCGTAGAATGCGTATCCTATCAAAACAATAGATTCACTAACACTTAAGAGTTTATTCATACTTTCATTCAATATAACAAAATATTTTGCGGTATCCACTAGAGTAAATATTTTAAATTGAAGATCGAGCTCATTCATTGTAGTCATATAGGGTCAACGAGTGTAGCTGTAAAAATCATCAAAATCGGAGTTAAAACAACCGTTAAATCATGATTTTTCGTTGATAATCGTCGAAAAATTTTGTCCCGTTACTTGATCTTTGAATGTTTGTTTTTTGTAATTTTTAGCGTATACGATCTCGAAGCATATACAAACAAGTTTGACGGTTGGATCGTTGAAATTAGTTTCGTAGATGCGTATCCCATCAAAATGATAGATTCACCAACACTTAAGAGTTTATTCATACTTTCATTAAGTATAACATAAGATTTTGTGTTATCCACTAGTGTAAATATTTTAAATTAAAGATCAAGTTCATTCATTGTATTCATATATGGTCAAGGAGTGTATGTTTAAAAAAACATCAAAATCAGAGTTAAAATAACCGTTAAATGTGATTTTTCATTGATAACCGTTAAAAAGTTTTGTCCCGTTACTTGATCTCTGAATGTTTGTTTTTTTTCAATTTTTGGTGTATGCGATCTTGATGTATATACAAACATGTTTGACGGTTGGATCGTTGAACTAGTTTCGTAGAATGCGTATCCCATCAAAACAATAGATTCACTAACACTTAAAAGTTTATTCATACTTTCATTAAGTGTAACATCACTAGTGTAAATATTTTAAATTGAAGATCAAGTTCATTCATTGTATTTGTATAGGGTCAAGGAGTGTAGTTGTAAAAAATCATCAAAATCGGAGTTAAAATATCCGTTAAATCGTGATTTTTTGTTAATAACCGTCGAAAATTTTGTCCCATTACATGATCTCTGAATGTTTGTTTTTTTGCGATTTTTGGTGTATGCGATCTTGAAGCATATACAAACAAGTTTGACGGCTGGATCGTTGAAATTAGTTTCGTAGAATGCGTATCCCATCAAAACGATAGATTCACTAACACTTAAGAGTTTATTCATACTTTCATTAAGTATAACATAAGATTTTGTGGTATCCAATAGTGTAAATATTTTAACTTGAAGATCGAATTCATTCATTGTATTCATATAGGGTTAAGAAGTGTACCTGTAAAAAATCATCAAAATTAGAGTTAAAATAACCGTTAAATCGTGATTTTTCGTTGATAACCGTCAAAAAGTTTTGTTCCGTTACTTGATCCCTGAATGTTTGTTTTTTTTCAATTTTTGACGTATACGATCTTGAAGCATATACAAAATGGTTTGACGATTGGATCGTTGAAGTTTGTTTCGTTGAATGTGTATCCCATCAAAACGATAGATTCACTAACACATAGAGTATATTTATACTTTCATTAAGTATAACATAAGATTTTGTGGTATCCACTAGTGTAAATATTTTAAATTGAATATTGAATTCATTCCTTGTATTCATATAGGGTCAAGGAGTTGAACTGTAAAAAATCATCAATTGGAGTTAAAATAACCATTAAATCGTGATTTTTCGTTGATAACCGTCGAAAAGTTTTGTCCCGTTACTTGATCTCTGAATGTTTGTTTTTTTCAATTTTTGGAGTATGCGATCTCGAAGTATATACAAACATGTTTGAAGGTTGGATCGTTGAAACTAGTTTCGTAGAATGCGTATCCTATCAAAACAATAGATTCACTAACACTTGGAGAATTTATGTTGGAAATGTGCCCTAAAACCAATCATATGATGATACTTTACGGACATTTCACATGTTAAACTAATCTAGTTTAATATCAAGGGCAAAGATTATTGTTTTAAGCCGTCTTGTATAAATGTTATATGCTTAAACGATAAGTCCAAGGAATATGTAATTAGGAGAATGTAATTTAAACAAGTTAGATTCATGAGACCATTCTCTTTCGTATACATATCCTAAACGTTCCTGATCATAGGATTGCCAATTGGGCATTGACAGTCCGTTAAGATCAGTACGTGTTGTATCTTCTCTCAGGGAGAGTGACTGGTCTCGAGTCATTGGTGTGATTGA